AAAGGAAGAGAAAGAAAGAAAGAAGAAGCTCAGCTTCAGATTCTTCTGTTTCACTATCTTCGATTTTCTCTTCTTCACCGATCCTACGGCAGCTCTTTTTACCCCTCGCCTTCTCTTTGATCGGTACGTTCTCTGTTTCTTCTCCATAATCAGACCTCTCGATCTCTGCTGCAAATTGCATCTCTCTCTTTAGCCTCCGATGCCTGTGTTGTTGCTACAATTTTTCTCTCTGCGGCTGTTTTCTTTTTTCTTTTTAATTTTGCTTGTCTTTAGAAGTTGTTTACGTAATTGCAAACATAAACGGAAATCTGAATAGTAGCATGTCATGTAGGTCTCTTGCTCGATTTTTCTTTGGTTTGTTGCTTTTTGTCCTGGAACTTCTGTGGCTTCGTGCAATATCTTGGTTGGTGGTTAGTATTTCAGAGCATCGGACTGATTGAATTGTTCTGGAATGGCTTAGTTGCGTATTGTGTTTATTACTTGTTGAAATTAACGAACTTCTGGTTATGAATTGTTGACTGAATTCTGAGGTATGCTGTAAATTTCCCCCTCCTCTTCGTTTTCTAGGGTTATAGTTATAGTTTTCTAGTGCTGTGGAGTTTGATACAAATTACTTGCGGCGGCGAGGACTCTTATTTGGTGCTTCATCGGGTCATGTGCGTATGTTAGAGCTGGAGGGTGTGTTAGCCGTTATTCTGATGTTTTTATGAACTTTACTTAGGACACTTTTCAGGGGTGCTACCAGTGAAGGATTGTCTATTGCCATGTCTGATCATACCACAAAGTCATACCAAGAAGGAAATGGAAAGTCAATGCGACCCTACCATTCAGCTTGGTTGGCTCACTGGTCACGGCCAGGCTGCAAATCTGCGAACGGGGCCAGTAATAGTTTATCGACCAGCGGTGAGTCTAGTGAAGAGAGTTCTCAAACTAAGAAACGCCCCTTGCTGGATGGTCCAATGCCAACAGCTACTGGCAGTATAAAACATGACATTGGATTTGGAGAAGTAGCAGGAGTAGGTGCAGATAATCCCAACAATAAGAGTTTGACTATGATGAGATCTAAGAAGAGAAGGAAAGAAAGGTTAGATTCTGAGCTCTTTCCTATGCTCAGTGTTTCTCAGCATAGAGGGGGTAAACTGGCTCTGAATATTGAACAGGCTACGGCTAGTCAAGGTGGAGCTTTGAAATTTAACACTGGTTCCAGCTCTGGGCACCAAACTTCGTCTCTCAATGGGAACGGGAGTCGATCGTCATCGCTGCTTGCAGTAGTTCCTGAAAGAGGTAATCCCAAGAAGGAACAGATAAACTCCAGAGACATTAGAGTGTATCAAAACGAGCATGAGAATTCCAATAAGTTTTGTAACAACAACGCTTTAACTGTTTCGACATTTGTTGGAGATGAGACTATGGGAACAGCTTCCAACTTTATACCATATGGAATGAGTAACAGGATTCCATTCACCGCATATGAACAAAACATCCACGACGAACCGAGTTCCTATTTGTCATCCAAAGAACAGGTTGGAAATACTAATTTCCACACTTATTCTACTCTTTTTGTTCAAGAAACTAAAATCAACCAACTTTTGGATTCAACGGAAGCTACAAATGCAATGTCAAGGCAGCAGCACATGACAACGTTTTTACTGCATAATCCCTCTTCAAGCAATCGTGATACTAGGAAAACCAGTTCTAGTAGCTTGCCGTTTCAAAGCCAGAGCAACCATGCTGACACTACCATACCAGAATACTTATATCATGGAGTTTACCCAATGCAGAGACTTCCATATTCTGTCCACGACGTCGAAACTATGAGAATATGTACCACTGTCGACTCCGTTGGACAGGCTCTGAGGGGACCTCCAAAGTTTTCTCAGACAACTCACCGTCTTATGATCACTAAAAAGACTGATGTTGACTTGTATGAAGGTCAGGAGTTTAGAGGGGCAGTGGCTTCTACCAATCTCAAAGAAAAAACATCATGTGCACTTCTTAGTTTATCCACTGATTTTGGCAGACACGATCAGAAGGAAAATGAATTGATACAACCTTCTAGCACTGTTGACGGAGAAAATGAAAATTTCGGAAATATGAGAAGTGCAACTTCTCTGAGCAATGAATCATCATCTGAAACTGATATTATGGACATGGATGCATTCCAAGAGAATCATTTGAGGGGTATGTCTTCTATCCCCTGATTCTTCCACTGAAAGTTAAAAATGACGAAAAGAAGGCTAAAACTGTAATGTGTTTCTTGTTTTTCGGTTCCAATTTTCTTAAGAAATATAAGCATTCACTATGTTTCTTGTTTCTTCATTTTTTTTGGAACATTCTTAAAACTCTATAGAAATTTTGGAAACAATCAAACCAAGTTTCTTTTTTCTCGTTCCCATTTCCAATTTATTCCAAAACATAAATAAAAAGATTGTATTATCATACTTTGAGTTCATGGATGTTCGGGTCATGCAATTCGTTTTTCTTTATTAAAAATAAAGAAATAGAAACAAGAAATAGTAACGTTACCAAACGGTATCTATATGTTTACTTATTTTCAATTACGACATTCGTATTATTTGTTTGTTTATTTGTGTTTCCTTCTGAATGTTTCTCATGTGGCTTTCCCTACCTTTTGCAGGCATGGATACATCCCAAGCAGATGAGGTAAAATGGAGCCTCTATCTGAGACCTCACTCTTTCATCTTATTCAATCTTATTTTGTGGTCTTATCTTGTTTTCCTCTTCTTTTTTTCCTCCATTTCTTTCCCATGATAAAACAATTCACTCTATTATCTCGCTTTCATGCTTCCCAAACGTCCAAATGGATTGGTCCAATAGCAACTATTATTTGGCTGAATATTTGTCAACATACAAATACAGGATGGATGTATTTGTATCTTCAACTGTTACAAAAAAATTTACTGTACTAAGAGGGATCTTTGATTTGCAGGATTTGAGGAGCTCAAAATCATCATTCCCCTCTGCGAGCGCAACTGCTTTTCCAAAGAAAAGATTACTTGATATAAATGAAAGGCCACCGAATCGTTCTACTTCTGCGAGCTTGATGGACAACATGGAATCAAGTACCTCAAAAACACAAAGTTTTGACGTAGGATACCTCCTTTCAAATGCCGAGCAGCCAAGAGTTTTGAACTCCACTGTCCCTCCAGATGACTCGCCTAAACGGGAGAGAGACAGCGGGTGGCTTAACCGTCTTAGGCCATGTGCTTCAGAGTCTGTTCATGATATAAAGAGCACGAAGAAGGAAGAAGCCTCTTCCTGTGATAAAGCCAATCAGCTCTTTAACAAAACGAAATGCAGTTCAACCAAATCTGACCGCTCTATGGCTCCACTCCATGGACAAGAACAAGTGGCAGTTGGTCAGACAGCAACTATAGTAAAGGATAGCGACTTAAGCAGCAACCCAAGTGCAAAAAATCGAGAAATTATGCTCTACAATCCCTGGATCCGGAGATTGTGTCATAAGAATAGACCAGCGCCTTCTGAAAGGAATCTTGAAACTACTGTGGTTCAAACACCACAGCAAAAACCACAGTATACAAAACGAACATTAGTTCAGCCATTTCCTAGTGTAGCTGCTATGGCATTGATGGGCAAGACAGTGGCTGGGCTTCCCCAATGCGAGTTTAGTAGAAGAGGTTCTTCTTTAGTTTGGAATACTCAGGGTATTTGAAAGCCCCGAGTCATTCAGGTTTCTGCCTGGCCGTCATCAACTCTCCCAAGAAGTTTGAACTGCTAGAGAGACCATGAATGCTGCTTTTATAGTTTTCTAAATTTTCATTGACCTTTAGTTGTCTGCTTCAGGCCTTGGGGCTAAATTAAGCTGTTGGATAAGCTCGTTACACTCGTTACCACTAGAGTGAGGGAGAGAAAGCTGCTGCTGCTGCTGCAGCCGCCTCGTTTCCCCCTGGGGCTATAGGGAACGTGAAGCATCCATCCATTTTATAGCAAAGAAACGAGCAGCGAGCTTGTATACAATTTTATAGTTTTAATGATTTGTATTCTGCGTGGAACCATTGAAAGTGCAGATACTGCATTTTCCCTTCTCAATATATGGTACCACTTTTTGCATATGATTTTAGCGACCCTCTACTTTTTCAAGGAAGAAAACTAACATATAGGATGGAAGTTGATGGAGTTTGAACAAGTTAGGTAAAGGCGACAATGCTTGCAGATTACTCCTCTGGTATATCTATTCTCCTCAGATCGATAAACTCAGCACAATATACTAAAATGTTTTGTTACAAATTATGGTCCCATTTCTAACCTGACACCCAGTTTGTTCCAGAGCAGATTCAAAAAAACCACCTCCTTGAAATGTTGAATCCATGCAGGGAGGAGAAAACTGAGTTATCACATCTCGCAAAGTGAGTATACCCATTGCTCGGTGTGAATTATTGACAAGGAAGCTGAAACTGCTATTTGCCGCAGCCAATGTTTTCATCACCTGCTTCAGAGTGTCATCTCTCTTGCTGGTGACTGGGGTGTGCATATTTGGAAGCGCACAGTTAGTCAAAGGACGAGCGCCCAACAAGGTAGGTGTACCGTGGCCCCCTTCGACGTTCAGGTTAAAGTCTGCTCTATTCGATTCCATGTGAATGAATTCCTTCACTGTTAGTCTTCTGCAGTTGTGCATCACTTAAGACCCATTAGCAATTGCATCCATAAACTCTAATCCTTACACTATATTATGAATGAAAAGAAGAGGCAAAACTTAGGTAAATTCTTATCATTGTTCTGGTAGATCATTCAGATAATGCATCCAAAAAGTGCACCAAATTGACTTACTTTCTATTTTGAAATAAATCTTCCTTCTCCAAGAGAAGACACACGTCGCTGTTCCTCAAACTACCAATGAGTCTCTTACTTTCTCTATCTGTTACAGCAACTGCACCCACTTGATTCTCCCATAATATATGAAAAGCTTCTGTAATGTTTTCGTCCCCATACACATGAAGAACGAGCTCTTCATTACTAAACCTGAATTGATAACAAGGAAGCCATTGTGTTGTGTGATTCAGATTGCACATAGATAATTCTGTTAGTCATCAATTATATCCCTTACCGTAAGTCTGATATAACTTTGTCCGCTATGCTGTCAAACCACTCCAGTCCACTTGACTCCAGAAGCAAATGAACTACTGCATTCTATTATAGAATGTAAACAAACGATTACAAGCATTCCATAAACCTGAAATGATTCTAATTCTACCTTCTGAACTTCCACAGCAGGTTTAGTTATAAACACAGCCTCTAATTCTATTAGCCTGATTTGATACATCAATGAATCATGTGAAACAGAGATTTCTGGTAAGTACCTGAGTAATGAAGCCAGTGACGTGAGAATTGGAGATCTCAACCACAGGCACAGTCTGCAAGCGATGCTTGGAGAGCAGCAGAAGAACATGAAGAAGCGTATCCCCCAGCCTAACTGGGAAATAAGGATCCCACAAGAATGTCTTCCCTAACTCACCCACCTGAGAAAAACCCATCAGAACTGATTTGTATTGTTCTAAATTATGGAATGGGATATGGACAGTGTAATTGCACAGAGCAGAACAGAAACCTTGGTTTGGGCAATGTGTGGATTCTGTTCAAGAAAACCTAGAATGCCAGATACAGTCTCCTTAGTCTCCTCAGACTCAACGCACTTGATTCCATTCTCCAACTTCCCAATCTCCTGAATAAGTTGAGAATCCAGGCGTTTAAGAGCGGGATCCTTCGTGATAGAGTTGAGCGACGTTTAGAAATTTACCTCGAGGCACCATAGAAGCAAGCTCGAGAGATTAAGGAAGCCGATGAAGCGATCGGGAAATCCGTGGCTGGAAACGTCGGCGACGAGAGCGCCAGATGCATCCCTGTCGTGCATGATCCGGATCGCATCCTTCACGGAGTCTCCGGTTTCGACTTCCAGAACTTGCAGAAACCAATGGAAAGAAGAAAACCAGATGATTCAATGGTGGAGCTTGAGAATGGGGATGAAAACAGAGAGAAGAGAAGGGTACCGGCGGCGGCTTTGATGCCGGAGATGGAAGTGACGGGGATGCGGTCGAGGTAGAGTTGTAGAGCGGCGGCGGAATCAATCTCTTGGCCGGAGTTGTGGTCGGCCTGAGCCATTTTGGAATCGGGTGCGTCTTCTCCGATTCGTTTGCCTTTGGAATTTGGTTTTGGTCTTGGCTCTGCTTTCGATGGGAGGGAAAGGGAAGTGTGGAATGGCCACATTCTTTTCCACGTGTGGATCTATCATAGATCTTTGTCTGCCACGTATCATACATTTCTTTTCCTTTTTCTTTTTTTGGAAAAGGACACAAAAGTTATACTTCCAAATAATTAGGGCCAATCATTTATTTCTATAAAACCGTTTCTTATCATATTTTTGGACTCTCGTGGAAATTTTGAAAATAACATCTCTCCATATTTTCAGCTTACTTAAATTTTTTAAATTTTTTTCCTTCGATTTGAATTTACAATCTCTTGGTCAGAGATAGGTATCACTTATCGTTGAACTAAACTCTTTTTAAGTCAACATGACTGAGTAAGCGATCGATGCATATCATTTAAGTATGTTCATTTTTCACACGAGGATGGAGTTCCTTGGGGACTCGCCTAAATGAGGTGGAGAATCTCCATTTAAAGTCCTCTCAGGATGGAGATAAGGAAAGCTTTTTCCCGTCACCTAAATGAGTTCCCTGGTCCAGTCTCCCGTTCCTCTCCCCGTCTCACTTTATGTATATATATACACTAAAAAAATCTTATTATTATCTCTATATTTACATATACTAAAAGAACACTATTCTTCCCTACTCACCCAACATAGGAAGGATTGGACTGTGTAAATAAAAATTTATTGTTAAAAATTAAGCAAAAAATATTTAATTTGAGAAATAATTTTAAAAATAAAAGAATAAATGGAGAAATTCTCTGTGGAGACCCATCCCGCAGAATTTCGAGAGGAATTTCGTGGGGATGAAAAATGAAATGGGGGTGAGGAAGCCTTCGTTGTCCTTGCCCACTTAGCTCCATCAACATCCCTAATCTCATTCTTGCCCAAAGGTTGAATATCTCATTTTTACATTTAAAATATTGAATTACATTACAAAATATGTAAAACAGATTTAGTGATTGAAATTTATCTGCAATCTGATCAAACGAAATACGAGTAAAAAATATGTATGAAGTTAAAAAAAATATATATGTTAGGCTGTGCTACTAATAAAATAAAATCAAATATGTTGGAGTTTGATTTCATTTTTTGAAGAAAGTGACCAATATCAACTGATAAATGTAACGAGTATGGATAATACACCATAAAGATCAACATATAAATCCTATGTACATAAAATAACAATACTAAACTGGCTAGTTAGTAGCCACTCTTATTGGAGAGAAATACACTGAGACTTAGAAGCTCTAGTTTCGATCTCTCCTACTATATTTTATATAATAATATATATAATAAAGTGGAACATGTAAAATTTCCTCTCCAAAACTCCTATATCTGAATGAAGCTTCAAATTCAATCTTTGTAACCAACCAGCTTCAAATTCTCACCCAGAAATGCTGCAAATCCCATTCTTCAGCTCCCACAGTGCAGTCTCTCATGATAACAACTTCACAGCTTGCTTTCTTTTTCCACCTCTCAGGGCTCAACACACTTTGACATCTGTTTATATAACCGTCCCATCTTCGATCGTTGCCTTTTCCAGTATGATCGTGACTCCCGACCGAATGTAGAATCCTTCTTCTGGCCGATCTGCTTCTTGAACACCCTGAAATTGACAAAGATTCAGATTAGTGCATGGAGAGCGCTCTGAGGGTTTTGAGATTGATTGCAGGACTGGGTTGGATATGCTTACATCTTTGTTCATAACGATAACATCTTTTCCAATTTTTGCGTTCTTGTCGATTACACAGTTCCTGCAACAAAATGCGCCATCAAAACTGTTGGGAGGTTCTTGTGCAGCTCTATGGTAATGGGTTTCTCTAGATTTGTGTCTATTTACCTGATTTTCGTGTTTCGTCCAATCCCGATGGGGACCTTTCCCTCTGCTAGCAAAGCTGCAATTTCAGATTCGGTTTGGTAGTTGTCTGCACCCATCATTATAGTATCCTGTTTAAAAGAAGACAGCAACCTGGGTTACAATTCCAAGTTTTCATCCAATCTGCAGCTTTGTCTGAATGTATAGATTTTCTGGTTTCACCTTAAGTTCAACACCGTAGTCTAATCTTGACCGTTCACCAACTATCGAATGCTGGATGCTACATTCTCTCAAAAAGCATCCATGTGAGATTATTGCATCAACAATCTGCAAAACCCAGCTGAAGCTTAAGAGTGGAGTCCTAAAGATGAGCTGAGAATCAGATCAGGTTTATTGATATACCTGACATTTGTCGATCTTGGTTGGCGGTAGGAATCGAGGAGATGTATAGATGGGCGTTTTGGGGTCATAAAATTCAAACTTGGGAAACTGCAAGAAAGTGAAAAATAGATAATCAATGCCAACTTATGTGAAACAATTGGAGCAATGTGGCATTGGATATGAAATATGTTGCTCGAAACAAAAAACTCTGGCCTTTGGTTAATTCCATGATTCAGATTTTTAAGATACAGATTGCAGGTTCCAGTAACACACTGTTCAGACCGATCATATACGATAATATAGGAAAATTAAAAAAAAAAAAATGGGCTGAACAAATCAAACATACCTCTTCCGTGAGGGCCAAGTTTGCATCATAGAAGGTCTTTATTGTACCAATGTCCTCCCAGTAGTCTCTAAACATATAGGCCTTTGGAATAAGCAAAAAGAGAAGGAAAAATGAAAGAGGAGTTACACTCACATATGGATAAATCAATCTCAAAACATTGGCTTGCAAGAAGTTCAAGTATGAGGGATTCATATAAATCTCTATATTAATAGAAGAGAGAGCGAGACGTCGAAGTAACAAACCATGGTCGGTTCGGGATTCGTTTACTAAGTACAGCCAAAACAAAAGTCTAGTACTCAAACTTTATTCCTAGTGAAGCACTTTGTATGAAGAATCATTACCAACCACACAATTAACATAACCAAAATATACTCTTTCACCAAGTTATTAATTCAAGATTCCACAATCCGGGGAGTTTCGAAATTGTTGGCTACGTCAGTTTCCATACATTGTCACTATTACTACCTCGAAAAATGTAAGTAATGGAGAAACATTAAGAGTTGATAGCGAGTCATCTTACTTGGACACTGTGCTCCTCTATAGCCGCAGGAATGATTTCAGAGCCAAAGTCATTGGCTGTAGGATATCTCCACTTCAAAAGTTTTAGCAAAGTATCTGTTTTGAAAACATAAACTCCCATCGACGCAATGTAAGGGGACTTCAACGACTCCTCCTGAGACAAACCCAATGAAGTTGTATCTACTCGCTGTAGAAAACCGACCAATTAGAATGATATTGTGACTTGAACAAGATTCATCTCAATGATTTAAGAAAAGGTTTTTGCACACAGGACGCTTTTACAGCCAATAAAGATAATCTTATTGCCAAAGTATGGCTGAATTCAATAGTCTATTCACACAGTGAAAAAAGTAACCATTCTATATTTTCTCCAGTATTTACCATTGCATTCAAATTGGCACCCTTTGGCTTCTCAGAAAACTGGATAATTCGACCTCTGCAATCTACTTTCACCAATCCATAGTCTGATGCGCGGCTGCAAATAGTGGATTAAACATTAGATGATACATAGGCTCCATCTAAAGAATAAATAAACAAACTGTATATGATCAAGAATAATTTCTAGCATTTCCACTGCTCTCTAAGCACACAAAATTAGGTACTAAAATTAACTTAGAGAAACAACTGAAGTTATCACATCTTTCCCAATTACATAAAAGCAAACAAATTCTTAGAAAAGCATCAAGAGGTAAAAGGGACATTGATAAGACCTTTCGCCCACAGCTGCGCACGAGATCGAAATGTCAGCGTTTCTATCAACATGATGCTGTGTGAAATCATAGCATACAGTAAGATTTTCGAAACCTAGAACAGAAACTACTATCATTAATAAGCATTCGAAAAGAAATTTATTACCTGCACAAAGTCCATATAGTCCATTCTGTAAAGGTGATCCCCTGCTAAAATTAGAATGTTCTCAACATTTCTGTTCTTGGCATCCTACAAGAATTAATATGAGAGTCAAACTTTATAATATCGATAAAGTAAAGAAATGAACCAGAGGCTCATATTCGTGTTGAGACGGAACTAAAGGAGTAAATTTTAGTACGTACCTCAAATACCCAAACAAATTGTCTCACAGCATCCGCAGTTCCTTGGAACCAGTACATGCCGGATTCCCCAGGTGTTTGAGTGGCCGCAAGAACCTGTTTAATCCACAGATCTGAAATAATTAACTACTGATAATAATCACAGCTGTATACTCTCTCATTTTTCAAATAAACATAGTCGATTCAAATGATTGCATTGACAGTTGTTCTAGTAAAAGATCAACTCTTAAGTTCAGCTTTCATGTCCTTCTTGTTATCATTAAGTTCATAGTTTATTGATTCAAGAATTTAAGATAGCTGCCTAACACATTTTGCCATACCTCCACAAATCCTTCTCCGAAGTTGACACCGTTTCCGAAGTATGTGCGTGAAATATGACGATTCAAAGAAGCAGAGTTGAACTGGGTAAGCACAAATATCTTGTTGATCCCACTGTTAATGCAGTTGCTCATTGGAATATCTATAAGCCTATAGCATCCTCCAACTGGAACCTACCAATATGAAAAATATTAGACGGTCAAATTGTATACAGTAAAAAAAGATAATCCTTCACACTTCACAGTGAATAACTTGGACTTTTTGAAATAGTCAAGTAAAATATGACAAAAGCTATTGGAAAATCCGCCTTTTAACCCATGAATTTTAAAGATAAAACAACTTCATTCATTCTAAGAAATACATCAACATCAGTGAGAACACATTAACAACAGTTAAGTTCTAAGAAACAGAGAACTGCTTTGAAAACTATCTGAACGGAGCCCTGGCCCCTTGTTAAGTTCCACAATCAAATATGTACAAGATATTTCCTTACAGCGGGGGTTGCAGATCTTATAGTAAGGGGAAACAGCTGAGTCCCGGCACCCCCTCCCAATATGATAGAAGCAACATTTTTGGGGTTAACTTTTACTCTGGGAAATGGTGGCGCTTGAATGCTCTGCAAATAAGTTCAATTCAAAGAACAATAATCAAGTTCAATACAAAAAAATGAAAAGACAGAGAAAATCAAGATGGGTTTTCCTCTTAACTTCCAAAGATATCAGAAATCAATTCAACATGGCCATCCATCCAATGCAGTAAACTCACCGCAGCCTGTTTGGCCATATTTGGTGTGGCAACAGCATAAACAACATTAGGAGTGACCTTCCAAGCTTTCTTCTCAGCTTTGAAACTCTTAGCGAGGCGATTAACCCAGGCATTACCATTCAGACCTCCACTAACTTTCTCTCCATACAATCCATTTTCTCCACGATTCAGACCACCCCAGTTTCCCTTCACCAAATGGGTATTGGGTTTCAAAGACACAAAGCAAGAATCCATCGCACCCGTCTCACAGCCAACGCCAAATCTAACAAAAATCAGTCACTCCTTCCTTCAATCGGAAATACAGCATCAGAAATGGTGCAAAATACAATATAATCAGTAATAACCCCCAGCTCAAATCCCAATAAAGCAAAAGCTCGAATCTAAGCAACCATTTAGAGTACAGATCACACTAGCAACAGAATAAAGAAAATGGTCTAAAATAATAACAGAAACCCAGAAAAGTAGATGCAAATCAGAAGCCCCAAGAAAGAAAAGTAAAGCAAGAGGATGAAAGATCAAAAACTTACCAAAGGGAAATGAATCGAAAGCGGGAAGAAAGGGGAATCAGAGGGAAGTGAGATTAGGAATGGGGATGGAAGTAGAAGCGAGAAAGAGGGAGGAAACAGAGTGAAAAACGTGAGTGATGTAGAAGAAGGCGGTGATGGCGAAGGAAATTATGGGCATGTGAGGCCTCTCACGAGAATTTATACTAAAAACAAGAAAGTGGGAAAGGTTCATGTCAGCAATAGACTCGATCCATCATCTTCTTCTTCTTCCTTTCTTCTTTTCCGGAACCCAATTTCCAATGATCATCCGCTATTTGTACGCCGCATGCAAACAAGGAACACCTGAAAATTGGTGCAAGTTTTAACCTTTTTTTTTTTTTTTTTTTGAAGGAAAGTTTATTTTTTTATCCCTTTACTTTCAACCCATTTGTTTAATTTTCATTGAATGGACACTTTTGAGGTTTGAGATTTTCTGTGAAGTCTATCAAATTTGTAGTTTCATATCTTCCTTATTACAATTATATAGCTATATTTGGAAACTATTGGAAAAAAAAAACCATTGAATTTAACCATGTGGTGAAACTAATTTTTATTTGATTTAAATATTATTTTGATTCTTACCATTTAAGGTCTATCTTGGCTTTTCCATTTCTATTTTTATCTTTTTTTTTAATTACAACTTTAGTATGACATTTCAAAATTTTTTAAATAATGACAAAAATAATTTTTTTTTAAGTAAATAAATCATTATTGGGAGTACTTGGACTGAAATAAACTAAACTTAAAAATACAAGACCAAAATAATATCTAAATCCTTTTATGTTTTATGTTGGAATTAATTTGAACATTTTTATGTTTAAACGAGACTATTTTTATTTACTTGAGGTTGAAATGTTTTTACGAGTTAATTTTAAGTTTTTTTTTATTATTGGTTGAATTTAATGTATCTTTTTCATTTGTTTGGGCAATTTTCTAATTTAATGATTCATTTTGCTTTTTTCCCAAAATTAGAACACGGGGATTCGATGATGTTGGCCTTTAATTAATTTCAAGGTTTCTCAAAAAACTACAATTTTCATGGAATCTTGGAATAATTGGCTTCTTTGGAAAATGCTAAAGTAATAAAATTTTGAAGAATAACTCATTTATTGATTTTAATAAGTCTAAGTTATTAACAACATTATTCTAATTTATAATCATAATCTAAAAATCAATCCATTAAAATAATACATGGAATAAACAAGATTCATAGGTGTGTAGTGTTCTATTTCATATTATATAAGGAGTCAGTGAAAATTTTGAGTTACACTAGAATCCCAAAATTGAGCATGTTTCAAGCTCAAAGTTTAAGTTCAATTTATGAAGAGATTATTAAATTTATTTTATTATACTATTGATTAGGACAAGTTCGAGTCAATTCTCAATTATTATTAACTAACTTAAGAACAGTTATTTCTTCTCTTGAAGTCGGAAGTTTAAATTCACACATTTTCACAATTTGTTGTATTAAAAATACAGATATTATCATCATAAATCAATGTAAATATTAAGATGTCAATCTGAAATCTTATTTTAGTCCAGTATGCCCACCCACATGATTCACCTTTGAATATCATCTTGTGGGTGTATATTAATATTGATGGGGTTTCATCTCAAAACCAATCTACAATGAGAGGAATAATTAATGTCTATTATAAACCTATGTAAAGTCTCCTCTTTTTATTAATGTGGGATCCTTAACATGCCCCCTCAAGATCGTGGCTCTTCTGACTCATCGATCTTGGTCGAATCTCATTTTTGGATCAGATGGTCGTTTGAACTTGTTGGGCTCGAATACAATATTAATATTGATGGGGTTTCATCTCAAAACCAATTGGCAATGAGATGAGTAGTTCATGGATCCTTAACAATGTATTAGTTTAAATTCACACATTCTCACAATTCGCTTCTTTCTTCCTAGTCAACCATAACGACTTAAACGACGCAAAAAAAATCAAACCTTGAAAGGAGAAAGATCGATAGCATGCATTTTTTTAGTTCAACACATCGGGATGTGGGATCAAACTCATAACCTTTTAATTTGAGATATATGTTAATTACCACTGAACTATACTCACTTTGGCATCGGTGACAAGCATTAATTGGATCAATCCAATATAGAACATGTGTTGCACGAATTGCGAGCTATGTTATTCTTCTGCTAATGATTTATTTATATTATATTAATTCATCAAGAATAAAATTAGTTAAATAATAACAAGTTTTGTATATAACACATGATGAGAGTAACAAGTCAAAATTTTGTCAATTTCATAGGAACATTATATATCATTCTACAGATTGAGAAAATAAAATTTTTAGTAAAATCTTAAGAAAATAACTCATAACAAACTAGATGGAACAAATTTACCAATTTGCATTTGGAAGGTTGAGATGTCCAAACAAACATCTTTCTCAATGACTTTCTTTATATTACATTAATAAATAGTTAAATAATCATTAGATCATAATTTTTTTACCATTGTTTTGTCTTAACCCTTCATGTAATAATATGATATAATAAACAACATATTTCTTTATTTTAGTTTTACAACTCAAGTAAATAAGCGTCTTATCAACGAAGTAATGTTCTAATTAACAATAAAAAAATATCTACTTAATTATAACATCATTTTTATAATTCATTTTCAAAATAAATGATCTTGTTGTAAGTTTACAAATTTGTGAAGGACCATTTTAATTTTTGTTTTTAGAGCTCTAACAATATATCTCTTTTGTAACGGTGCATTTCAAAATGACGAAGACTCTGTTTAAAAACTATTCTTAAAATAATTTAGTATGAAACCTCGCACAGAAGAACCAACCATTTTCTTTTTTTTTTAATGGCTTTTTAAATTTTAGTCCTTTTTTTCTAATTAATAAATAGACAACCAGCTTCAAAATCAACCGTAGATTTATCCACATATTATTATAATTTGAAAAATGAATAATTCTGATTATGACTCGAGAAAATCTCTGTTAAACAAGATCAAATTAGTAATATTCTCATTGATTTTTATTACAAGACGGCATATTAGTGGGACCCACTGAAAGCCGTTTATTGAAGGACACACTGCCACTTAACCTACGTGGACGGTCCTAATTGCTGACAGATATGGGCCATCATTGTCCTTAAAGGCCCACGTGGCTCTGTCAATCTTGGACCAACATTTTTGGAAAGGGCAACATTTATTTTATAATTATTTCTTTTTATTAATTTTCTTTTACCTTACAAATTCAAACTCTGCCTTTCCTCTGTTAAGCTATATTCATGTTGACACTTGATAGAAAAAGAGAAAGATATGTAGTAGAAAATATTTCATAAATTTTTTAAAATGTTTATAATATGCTTATCAATTTTTAATTTTGTGTTCCATAAATCCATGTTATAAATTTCTTTAATTAATTTAATCTCTATGCAGTATATTAGTTGAGTCAATTTAAAAATTAAATGGTAGGTTGATTTTAAACGGATTTACACTTTTGATGACATAAATATTAGACCAATATCATTGACAAAGAATACCTATTAAGTATGAAGTTTTTTTTTAACATATTAAATATGAAGTTAAGAGTTAAAAATTTATAAAAAGAAAAGAAAAAAGTTAAATTAGAAAAGTTAAATAAATATAACTTTGAAAATTAATAGATGATACTTATCATTTAACCTATATCTTTTTATTTGGGAAATTTTAATTGTCCCTCGTTCCTCGTTAAATTAGGAAATCTTTCACCCCAAGGAGAGTGTTCATGGGGACTTGTGAGGAAAATCGTTGTTCTTTTACTCTATAAAGTATCTTTTTGGAAAAAGTATAACATGTAACATGTATAGTATATGTATATACATTTATTTATTGGTGCTATGGGTAAAATTTCATATGTAAATGGTGGGCCTCGCCCAATCACAATAAAGATACGCCATCGAGTATCGAAATCCTTTGCAAAATACGCTAATTTCTTGTACACTATTCTTTCTTGCTCTCCTACTTCATTTACTCCGATTCAAGCACTAATTTAGACAACAAATGGTGTTAGGATGACACCACACCGGTGTTGAGTTTGATTGACTTTAGATGATTCGTATTGAGTTTGATTGATTTTAGATGATTCGTGAGGCAGGAGAATCATTCATAGGCGCACCAAATATCGCTTAGTTGCCCAAATATTGACATCAACATTTAGCATTTAAAGTAAATGTAAGTTTCTTTAACGATGCCAACCTATACATGTTGTAACATTTTTAATATTTAATTAAATATGAGTTTCCATTTTTTATTTAATTGAAGAGTTTAAACCTTGAGAGTAAATTGGATTTGAAAACGTATTTGGAATAGAGAGGCTAAAAAATCTTATTTATTTTTATGTTAAGTTACTAAACCTACATTTCTTATAAATACCTCTCTAACCTCACTTTCAATTCACAACCAAAACAACCTACACAAGTTCTCTACTTTCTCTATTTTCTCTATTTTGCTCTTTTAAGAGTAATTGGCCAAAAGATGGTGTTATTTGTTGTGGAGCTTTGAGCTCAACCAGAGTGGTTTGAGCTACACAACGATTCAATTGGATTATTGTATCCTGTAAAGGATAGACCAGAGAATACCTGGCGACTTGCCGCATCGGTAGTTGATAAAGAAATACACACTGCAAAAGACTTGAATCTCCTTAAAGAGAGCGAGATACTCGTACCTCAACCTAATTGATTACATGTTTGTTTTTCTCAATAGTTACTCAAAATATTTGTAGTTCTCCCAATACTACCTATCTCCAATCAAGAGTCTTGAGTTTGAATCCCACTCTACTAAAAAAATTTAACTAAAAGAAGAAAATGTAGTCAATGATACAATGACTATAACATATATTGATTCTCTTTCAACATTTTACTCGAATATCAAATATTTTTGAAGTATTGTTTGGTAATGTTCATTTTTTTTTCTTGCTCCTTATTTAATAAAGGAAAAAGAAAATTATGTTTAGTAACTGTTCATTGTTTTTCGTTATTTTTTTAAATAAAAAATAAATGAAAACAAATTTGGCAATGATTTATTATTTTCTACAATTCTTAACTAAAAAAAAGTAGAAACAAATTTGGTAATGATTTAATGTTTTCTACGATTCTTAATTAGGAAAAAGTAAAACTTTTATATGTTTTAAATGATTTTATTTATGTTTTAAAAAAATTGAAATGAGTGAAAGAAACAAAAAAAAACTTTTTAATTGTTTTCGAACTTCGATTTATTAAAAATGA